GGTCACCAATAAAGATATTGAACAAGACCAGAAATACCACATTGAACAGATTCACAAACTGGCAGAAGTCATATGACCTGCAGTATATATAACAGAGTTTCAAAGAACCTTGAACATGAAAGAGCTGATTCAGACCTCCTGTTAAAAAGCCACCATTTTCCCAAACAGTTGGACAGCAACAAGTATACTGCTATTTTACAAATTCAAAGGAACAACCCAAAGAATTATGGTAAAAAGAAAGCTTATGTTTATATCTGCCAAGCTGATTAAAAAAGTTACATAAAGCTGCCTGAAAGACTGTGGTGTGCTCACTTCAAGTTATTTTCAAAAAAACCATGCGCTCAATCTCAAATTTGCTTTAGCATGGATAAGACTGTGGTTGAAGAGCAGCTATGTGATGTATAGCCGTAGCAGCTGGGTTCCCAGCAAACTACCTGTGCTCTGTAATACTCACATCCTCTCCCCAGGAAAGGGCAGCCCTTGAATGCAGGCAGCATTTGCCTCATGCAGTCAGCCTGCCTTTTCAGAGGGGAGATGATGCCCCAAGGTGATTGGGAAGGCAGCAATCCAGACTGGATCTGTCCAGGCTCAGACAACTGTGAAAGGCACCAAATCTGAGGAAAGCATATGGACCCAATAACCAGAGAGGAGAGAAAAGCTCCCCCGCACTCATTAATCTCTCTCCAAAAGCAACCATCTACAAGAGATGAGAGTCACAATGTTCCAGGTCAGCAACCCACACAAAAGCGAAGGAAGACCATCTCTGGCAGAAAGCACCACTTCTGCAGCACTTCAGACAGCTTGATTTCCTTCAGCACCTAACTTCAGTAGCTTACTGAGATGATGGAAAGCCTCCACTTCAATTCTACCCAAGAGCTAGATGAAGGGCTCAGGAGCCAGGGCTAAACAGCTACATCCCTGCATCATCTCCCATCCATGTACACTGATTCCACCTTACAAGCACATTTTCAGGTCTGTTTCATTGCTGTCTATGCTCCAATTTTGAGACACATTAAGCAACTTTACCTCCCATGGCAATAAAGACACTGTTATGTTCCTTTTCCCCCTCTTGTACTAACAGCTTGAAGACTCAAAATTGCTTACTTACTGGTGCAACCTCTGCAGGGGCAAAGGAAGCAGATCTTCTAGCTTCCTCCCTTCAAACTGAGGTCGAGTCTCCTGAAGTTTCTTAAACCGTCGGAATGACTTATTTCTCCTCAATTGCTCCTGTGTGCAGCAGAAAAGGCATATAGCTTTCAGACCGTAGAAAGAAATAAAAGGCCCTAGTCTGCACCGGAACACGGAACTCTTAAAACTCTCAGAGTTTAGGACTCCAGTCCTAAACACAAGCACCAACAACTTCTTTTGTGGCCATGGGCAAGAAATTCCCTTTCTCCTGACCTCCATTTTCCAGCAAGTAATGGAAGCGATTTCCCCTCTTCAGACATACACAGCAGTATAAAGCTAGTGTACTCAGCAAATGGAAATGAAGTAAGAGAGGAAGGTTGACTCAGACAGGAAAACAAGGAGTCCACCTGTGGCTTTTTGCCATTAATTTCAAGACAAAGCAGTGCATCCCATTCCCATCACCTCAAGGCAAGTATCCAAAATGGCTCTTTCACTTAGGAAGTCAGAAGTGTGAATATATGCATGCAAACAGAACAGAAGGGAAACATCCCAGTACATCCTGCAGCTGGGAACAAGCACAGACAAAAATTGGAAGACAGGTGGTTTAAATTCCAGCTACAGCTGTGAAGACTTTGAAATAAAAATAGTATCCTTCTGAAATTTCTTCGAAGACAGGTTGTATTTGGAGAGGTAAAGGAAGGAAAGGAAGGAAAAATTTTTCTTCTACCATTAGAAAAAAATTGGGAAGGAAAAGGAAGTCCCACTGCTAGGATACAGTTAGTGGTAGTGGGAAAGACTAGGAGACCTCACAAGTCTCTAGAAAGAGATCACTGTCTCCTGGTGCTCCCACTGCACTCTCCAGGCTTACCAGCCAAGCAGGAGTGGGAGTAAATACAGAACTCTGAGGAAGCTGTGCTCAGCATATACACGTACATACACAAAGACCTGAAACAAGCTTCAAAAATGTGAAGCTCTAAATAAGTAGAGAAGTTTTCACCATTCTACTATGGAAGAAAAGCTGAGAAAATAGCAGCAGCCCATAAAAAGGAAGAAAATTTATCACTCCGGAAACAGAAGAAAAAGAGAAGGATGTGGCTGTTTCAAGAACAGAGAAAGAGAGTCAAGAAAGAACATGAAGAACAAAGGGGATATTTACCCTTAAGGTTTTATTTGCCTGCTCCAAATTCTCAGCATAGTGGCCATAAAGCTCCACATTCTGACAGAAATTTTCCAATCCTGGTCCCAAATTGCCTCTCTCCAGATGAAGCGAGAGAACACTGTGCACAAGGAGCAAAGAAGCTTGTGAGAGGTACATTATTGGTGGCATTTTCACAGCTTCCTGTGGTTCACTCCTATGCTGACCTTCCTTTGTCAGCCTCCACCTCACATCCAGTTTCTGTGCCAAATACGTGTTTGGTGGTCACAGAGTAAGCTACAGAAAACATGCCTTAAAAATACTGCGGAGCAGACTTACTGGCTTTAAACCACTATCCAGAGGGCAACTGGGCATCCAGATATGTGAATACAGATCAGCAGTTTCCCGAGTACATCAAGTGCCACCAAGGCTAGTAGCACTAGAAGTGAATGCCTGTTTTACAAGGTGTCAGCTTTATTTCCTGAAATCTCACTGTCTCATCATTATAAGGTCCTCCCCATATAATTACAGGATTTACATCAGTGTGTTCACTTACTGACTGGCTGAATATATGGATTCCAGGGGTCCAAATATGGTTTCCAACACAGCAGGTTTCAGCGTCCCTTTGGCCTTTAAAATTGTCACAAAGAACTAAATAGGGAAAAAAAAGAGAGATTTCAAAACAGATAAAATTCACAGGTGTCTCAAAAGTTATTCATGGCAGACCGCAGAAGCAAGAAGCTGCAGCTTGCACACTCTTTATCTCAAAAGGATATAAAATATTGTGAATGCGTACCTAAGACATCTATCATCAGGTGTAAAGCCTCTTGGCAAGTTTGACCATAACTGTAAACACATGCAACAGCACTACAGCACTGACAGAGGTTTTTTTCAGTATTCCTAGATGCACCTTTTTTTTCCACCACCTTGCTCATCACCTATCTTTGTCTTGTCTGTGCCCTTATGTTTCATATATCTCAGGCATCTTAAGGCAAGGTCCCTATACAATAAAAACTTAAAGATTTATGTCTGTATACACACCAAAGCCAAGGGGCCAAAACCACAAGCTATCAGATGTTACAGAGGAGGTAAAAGAAAAACAACAACAAAAACCTTTCTGCCCCAGCAGTCATCCCATGCAGTAGGGATGTAGCAAAATCTTGCTCTTGACCCTTCCCCATGACAACACAAGTAAGTATGTGCTGCCTGAAGGTACCCATATATCAGAAAGGACCAAAATACTCACCGTGACCACCAAATCCAGCTGCTCAAGATATTTGTGTTCAGTTGCCAGCAGCTCCTTTGTTGTCCGGCTGCGCTTTCTCTCCCAGCGAGCTCTCTGGTCTTCCACAGCATTTGCTCCAGCCATGAACAGAAGGGAGAAGTCACTCATGGCAGCCTCAGGGCTGATATACAGAAAGGTAACTGATCCTGAGGAGCCAAGAGATATGGACACACAACAAAAGAATAACCTATGCCGCAGGTTGGGATTCTGAGCTACAAACTCTACACTTCACTTTGAAAGAAGGGAAGTCAATTGCCAGCAACAATCATTAACAGTTTCCTTCTGCATTCCTACCTGTGGGCACAGGAACGCTGCATCAACCAGAAGAACAGTGTTAGAAATACCAGACTGTGAAAGTAAAAGAAGTACATTACGATACATGTGTAAGCAAATCTCGGGTGTACAGTCCCACTCACAAACCACTGCTTCCTGTGCTTTGCCCTGTTCTTCGTGCAAAATCCTCAGTAAACCCAAGAAAGTTAGTGAATGGAAGAGGTACTGTGGGCAAGAGTAGAAAACAGCCATA